AGTTACTCACAAATTTTTGGCAAAAAAAGGTCATTGAGATTCTATTTCTTATTGATTTTTTAAAATTTTTTCTTTTATAAAAAAAATAAAATATGCACAAAACACACTGGATTAATTCGATTTACTACCGTTTTTACTAATTTTTAAAAGGTCTGAACCTTTTTTTTGAAAAAAAAAGGCTTTTTATACAAACACTAACAGTGTCGATAGGGAGTTCATGTTAAATCTTCATGAAAGAAGCAAAATTTTCAATAACCGAGGAGGGTAAACCTAGACAAGACATGTGCAAAGCTATAACCCCCCTGTTTTTTATCATGATGGTTCCGGAATTACAAAGGTTAGATAAGCAAGTCCAACAATATGTGATCTCTGTATTTTGGGTTGAGCTTTCCGGTGTTTTTTTTTATCATTAGATATTAAAGTACTTGTAATGAGAACTTTCATTTAAAGAGGTACATGTATGATTCATAACGGTATCCTTTAAACCTTCGTACGATCAAAAATGTGAATGATATCGTCGTTTTTCAAGCTTGGCGAGTGTTTAAGTCTCCCAATTCCATCCAAAGTAGAAACCACAGCTAAAAATAATCCAGTTTAAAAAGTTTTGTTCTTTTTCTTGACCAAAAAATAGTTTACAGGTAAAATGTAAAATACGTTTATAAACTGTTCAATGTTATACAATTGACCTTTCATAAGAGAGATATACAACCTTGATTAATATAAACATAGGAATTAAATTGCTCAAAATTCACAGGACAATGGGGTGGAGTATAGACAGCATGGAGGGAGTATCGAGTGGATAGCCGGACGTTTCACCTTCTTGTCTTGGCGGCAAATTACTGAAACTGCAGTCAGGGCTGCTTTTTTAATACAACATAATTTCTTTAATATTAGTGTTGATACGAAATGAACTAAACATTCTAGTAATGCATAACACTAATAATTTGACAAAAAAATTATTATTTATTATTTGTAAAAGATATTTAAGATTATATAAAAGATTTAAATTGCATACATCAAAAGAATTTACAATTAGTTTAAATCGAACATTTCTTTCAAGAATTCTTGCCGATTGAGCTGGCTCCGGATCAGTGTAGGCCTTAAGGACTTCCCTGCTGGCCAGCTGTAAAAATTCTAAACCATCGTTCAGTTTGGTTGTTTATGGTGGGTTAATTATTCAAAATTGCATCACAGACATTCAAAATTTCTAAAGGAAGCCTCGGGGTTTTTGCTTTTGGTTCCCTTTCCAATGTAAGTATTCTCTAAATAATTCTGGCAGTACTGGAAAAAATCTCTATCCTGGAGAATATTTTTCCGCATTTTCAGAAAACAAAACAGCCTAGGTTTCTCCATGACAAATATTGAAAAACTGGACATGAGTAAAAATGCTGTTTACATCAACCACTGTACACTGTACATGTGTTTAATGTATACAGTACATATCCAATTTAAATTGATTTTTCGTGGAATTTTTTTTAATATGCAAGTCTCGGCAAACCCTATCCCAACATAAAATATGTTAGTTTCAGCAAGTTACCAGAACTGTAAAATCAAGCATTTGCCGCCGAGACAAGAAGGTGAAACGTCCGGCTATCAAAAAATAATTACAAAATTAGGTAAAGTATCACAAAATCAAAACATCAAATCAACTATTGATTAGAAAATAATTCTACAATAACATTTTCACTCATATGACCCTGTATCCAATAAATTTACATTTTTTATACAATTTATATATTTTTTCAAATTTACATAATATTTATGGTTAAATATGTTACTCTCACGCATATCTTTTTTATGAAACTATAGTGTACGTTATCATTAATACTCACTTCATCGTGAATTTCATAATGAAGGTGCTATAAATTAATCATCGTGCTATAATGTTAATTATTCATTATAGCACGTGTGTTATAAAGTTTTGATTGGTTCCCGGATTTTCTCCAAAAAATTAGGATATTTCCAAAATATTTTTTTTTATTTGGAATGAAAATAAGATTAAAATCAACTTTATATTTTGACTTCTGCTTTGTTTCAAAGCTTATTTGATATAGAAACAGCCATTGAAATAAGAAATAAGTACACAAACGTTTTATAAAATTACTATAACACTTATTTTGCTATTATTTTATATAATATATAACCTTTTTTAAGTTAAAAAATATATCTTTTGATTTTATAATTGAATCATTCGGGGTTTAATACGCCGTAAAAGAGTGCATGAAAACAGTAAAAACAAAAATATGGTCACCGGCCTTATAACCTTTAATCCCTCAACAAAAAATGTGTCTGTTTTCATTCCTTGTTTCTTTTATTGCTCATATGTGATTTTAAATGTGTAATAATGTCCTGTACTGATTATGTTTACAAAGCTAAAAAATGATCTTCTTCCTTGCAATGTTTTGTCATACTAAATAATTAGATTTCGTTGCCAATAAAAGATATTTCCCAATTGTACCGGGGAGACCATGACAACAACAACATAAACGCTGTTTGGTTATCATATGTTTTTTTCGATTTCTTTTAAGTTTTCTTTTAAAGTTTTTTAATGTGTTTATCGATGATTAGTTATTTAATCTCACTAGTTTCCATGTAAAGAGTTTGTTTACTCGCTACTGAATTCAGTTATCTCACTAGTTTCCATGTAAAGAGCTTGTTTACTCGCTACTGAGTTATCTCAATAGCTTTCTTGATGAGAGTTTACTCGCTACTGAATTCAGTTAACTCGCTAGTTTCCATGTAAAGAGTTTGTTTACTCGCATCTGAGTTATCTCAATAGCTTTCTTGATAAGAGTTTACTCGCTACTAAATTGAGTTATCTCACTAGTTTCCATGTAAAGAGTTTGTTTACTCGCTACTGAGTTATCTCAATAGCTTTCTTCATAAGAGTTTACTCGCTACTGAGTTCAGTTATCTCACTAGCTTCAAGGTAAAGGTACCAATAAATCACATTGATAACTGGTAACAAACATAAACTCATATTTTTTGAAAATTATAATTTATTACTGAAAACTGGAAATAACACGAAAATAAATTTAAAGAAGCTAACTCAACCATTATTTACAAAAGTAATATAGAACGAATCCCAAATGGGATAAACGAGGGGCCTCTCATCATAGAAATAATTGGATATGAATACAAAAAATTTCACATTTTGAATCTATTCTTATATGACTAAAGACGGATTAAGTCGAAATGAAAAATATGTTTTCAGAATTGAGCTTAAAAGTTTATTCACTATGGAGTAAATATAGAATTTGCATCATTTCTCTCTCAAAATTGAAACTTTAAAAAAGCAAAAAATAATCCAAAACAAAAAAAATGGTTTTTAAAATCCATCATGCAATAATATATCAATGTCTATTTAAAAGAAAACTAAAAAAAACTTTGTGAAACATATGTGTTTTTTTCAATAAGTAACTAAAAATAATCTATTTTACAAAACACAAAACTATATAATTGGTGAGTTTATATTCCTAGATAGGTTGAGGGAAACACAATTCTAGAAATCCGATCTATTTTTGATACAGAGTTCAAACATTTATCAGAATCATTGAAAGCTCGTGTCACACATCTTTATTAATATAATACAAAAATTATCTATAATAATAATAATGATAAGAATGATAATAATGATAAGGATAATAAAAATGTCAAATGAAATAGATACCTTTTACAGACACACTGCTCCGGTGTTTCTCTTTCATTGATCTCATTTTCGAGGAGAAATATATCTCTAGTTAGCCCTAACTCCCGTACCTTTAATATATCTCTAATAAACCCTAGCTCCCGTATCTTTCATAAATCTCCAATAAACCCAAGCTCCCGTACCTATATTATATCTCTAATTAACTCTAGCTCCCGTACCTTTATCATATCTCTAGTTAGCCCTAGCTCCCGTGCCTTTATTATATCTCTTTTAAACCCTAGCTCCCGTACTTTTATTATATCTCTGGTTAACTGTAATTGCCGTACCTTTATTTTATTTCTAGTTAACCCGAGCTCCCGTACCTTTATTATATCTCTAGTTAACGCCCTAGCTCCCGTGCCTTTATTATATCTCTTTTAAACCCTAGCTCCCGTACTTTTATTATATCTCTGGTTAACTGTAATTGCCGTACCTTTATTTTATTTCTAGTTAACCCGAGCTCCCGTACCTTTATTATATCTCTAGTTATTCCTAGCTCCCGTACCTTTATTATATCTCTAGTTAACACTACCTACCTTACTAACTCTATGTTTTCTTTATCATATTTAATTACATGAAGTGGAAGGGCTTAAAAAGTATTTCTATGCTCCGTTATTAATGTGACATTAATCATGGAAACGCTTAAATTTTGAAATCAATGGAATCCCAACATTTTAGCCATTTCAGATTGTAATTTCTGGAGAAGGGATGAGAGTCTAAATAGGGGTCCTTTCTACCTTATCCCCCCCCCCCTGTTTTATGAAATTTTGAGATGTAAACATGTATTGTGTGTACCTGGAGTTGCTGTGCCCCCTGTGCCCTAGCAGGACCTGGAATATTGTCCGGAATATCATGAAGAGTATCCAAACTACCTCCCCCTGTACATCCAGCTGAATCCGTTTGGAAACTTTTCTTAAAGTTTCTAGCTGTTGGATGATGGTTCAGGAAATTGAAATCTAATAACAAATATTTCTAAAAATCTTAATTTAGATCCAAATGTTTAAAAACTGCAGTCCGGATCAAATAATATTAGTTTATATAGATAACGCATTACACTCTTAAAAGTGCTGAACTCTCTTCACCTAAACTAGTGAGTGTAGCTGAACCCTCTTTGTTTAAACTAGTGAGTGTAGCTGAACTCCCTTTGTTTAAACTAGTGAGTGTAGCTGAACTCCCTTTACCTAAACTAGAGACTTTAGCTGAATTCCCTTAAACTAGAAACTAGTGAGTGTAGCTGAACTCTCTTTGTTTAAACTAGTGAGTGTAGCTGAACTCCCTTTGTTTAAACTAGTGAGTGTAGCTGAACTCTCTTTACCTAAACTAGAGACTTTAGCTGAATTCCCTTAAACTAGACTAGAGAGTGTAACTGAACTTCCTTTATCTAAACTAGAGCGTGTAGCTGAACTCTCTTTACCTAAACTAAAAAGTGTAGCTAAACTCTCTTTACCTAAACTAGATAGTGTAGCTGAACCTCAGAATATATATAATATAGAACAGCAGGTGGCAGTATTTGGCTTGGTAATTTTCGTGAAATACCTTGCATTGGCAAGACATTGTGAACTGTATTGGTATGTTATTGTATACATTTAGTGCACTGTTCTTTTGGGGGATTGGTTTTGATCAGTTCTAATTTTACAGTGTACTCAATTATGAGGCACTGTGGGTACTGTTTAGTGTTAAATTGTGGAACTAATCAAACAAATAAGATAAGATTTCAAATTCTTTTCCAAAAGATGAAAAGTTGCAAACGTGAAGTGACTATACGGGAAGAGCAGGGTACTGGACTCCGGGAAAACTTATTGTTATCTGTGCAAAGCATTTTGAAACCAAATAAGCTTAAGCTCATAACTTTAGTCATTTTCCTTGAATGTCACTGTAGTCTCAAGCCGTAAGGCACTTATAGAGAACCCTAAATTGTTTGGTTCGTAAACAAATGTGTCCATAGTACAACGAGGTCCTCAATATCTTAACATCATGTGGACTGTGGAGGGTTTAAAATGAGATGGGATGTATTTTAATATTTCATTTATATTTTTTTAAACATTCTTCTGGGTTATGAACAGCCTTCCTATGTTCCACCTCCGAGTAGTTCTGTTCCCTCTCAGAGTAGTTCTGTTTCCTCTCAGAGTAGTTCTGATCCCTCTCAGAGTAGTTCTGTTTCCTCTCAGAGTAGTTCTGTTCCCTCTCAGAGTAGTTCTGTTCCCTCTAAGAGTAGTTCTGTTCCCTCTCAGAGTAGTTCTGTTCCCTCTAAGAGTAGTTCTGTTCCCTCTCAGAGTAGTTCTGTTCCCTCTAAGAGTAGTTCTGTTCCCTCTCAGAGTAGTTCTGTTCCCTCTCAGAGTAGTTCTGTTTCCCCTCAGAGTAGTTCTGTTCCCTCACAGAGTAGTTCTGTTCCCTCTCAGAGTAGTTCTGTTCCTTCAAAGACCAAACCAAATTCCAATGTGATAAAGGCAGTAAAAACTGCAAATCAAGTGATTGAACAGAGAATGTTGCGGAGGAAATGTTTCTTTTCCAAAAGTTGTTGATTTCATAGCTCTACTATGGAAACCGTGAAACAAGAAGTTATTTCTGAACTTAATGCTTACGACTGTGAATTTTCGAAAAATCACAAAACAAAAATGGTGAACACAATTGCATCTATTTTTCAGAATGAGGCTTCGCTATTATTTGACTAAAAAAGTCAGAAACCTGTCCTGTATCAAGCATAAAGATATTAAGCTAAGCTTAGCCGTGGACCCCCCCCCCCCCCCCCCCTCCCTTTCCTACTTCCTGATATTGCGTTTTTAGAAGAAAGGATAATGGAGTTAAAGGAACTACAAGAGAATAGAGTAAAAAATTTTGGAAAGAAAATTTTGAAATTTAAAGCCTTAAAAGTAAGAAATGAATATATATGGTTACTCGGTAATTCGGGTTAAATGAAGTGCAATTTCTGGGCTAATTGCAGCAAGGACAGACTTCATTCATTTATATTTTTATTCAACTACAGACCATGAGCATTCACAGTTTACTATGCAGTTTGGACCCGCCTAACCAGGGTAGGTTGTTTTGAGTGGTTGGCCCTAAGTTAGTTAACGATAATGAATATAATTGGTTACAAACATCAAATTATGTTTTTGGATACACAAACACAAATAAGCTGATAAAGTTTCAGGTTTTTTTTATAATATCTACTCACATGATAAACAAATAGGTTTTTCGCATTTAAACCTCTCATAATTCTCAAGTTAAATATTGATTACTCTTTGTTTAAATATTTTTGTCGATTTAGTAAGGTCAATTTTAATTCCATGCCACAATTTAGGAAACATTGCGGACAGAAAGCTTTCTAGATTTTTGTTTAAAACCCGGGGCTCGGGGGGGGGGGCAATTAATCTCATTTTGTTTTGCTTTTCTGTATCACATTTTGAAATATTTTTGAAACAGTTTTAAAAATACATGTTTTAAAAATTAAAGAAAAGAGAACAAGATAACAAGTATTTACTTATGTGTTTTATTAAAAGCCATCTAGGGAGAAAGTTTAAAAAATGAATGTCAAAATCCCCCCCAAGATTTATTTATTGTACTGCATAACCTCAACAGTCCAACACTTCCCAAACCAAATGCTGCCACCTGCTGTTCTATAGTGTATATATTCGAAATTAGGTTTTTTCCCAAAGGATTTTTTTCCAAGTGGCAACTTCCCAAGGGTATTTTCCCAAGTAGCAACTTCCCAAATGTCCAATTTCCCAAGCGGCAACTTCCCAAGTCTGTCCTTGTCGCAGCGATCGGCCCCATTGCAGCATGTGGCGCCTCAGAGGACCTAACCTAATCTTTGGGAAGTTGCCGCTTGGGTTTTGTTGTACATTTGGGAAGTTGGCACTTGGAAAAATACCCTTGGGAAGTTGCCACTTCGGAAAAAATCCTTTGGGAAAGTACCTTCCAGCTCTCAGAATATATACCTAAACTAGAGAGTGTAGCTGAGCTGCTCTCTTTATCTTGCATCTTGAAGCTGCTAGGTCCGTTGCTGCCACAGCTTTTACCATTGTGGGTTGGTAGAGAAGTACAGCTGTCGAGGAGCTAGAGGAATATGAAGTTTTTAAATAGCTAATAAAATATGTACTAAATGCAAAATGAATTGGATTCATAGAGATATGAGGTTTTGCTAAATATAAATTAACTAAATGTGCCGAATTAGCCCAATGTGCTAGTTAAGCACAAGATATTTACACACCAAGTGTAATAGTAAAGCAGCTAAGGGAATAAAAGATATTTTACGAGCTTGTGGAATACTAAACAGCTAATGGATTAGAATATATTAAAGTAGCTATGTGAAGTATAACTAGATAAATAGGTAAACAGCTAATGGGATTAAAGATATATAAGTAGCTAGTGGATATTTTACGAGCTTGTGGAATACTAAACAACTAATGGATTAGAATATATTAAAGTAGCTAGTGAAGTATAACTAGATAAATAGGTAAGCAGCTAATGGAATACAAGATATTTATGTAGCTAGTGGACCACTAGAAAGTTAAGCAGCTAATTGAATACAACATATTTAAGTAGCTAGTGGAGCACTAGAAAGTTAAGCAGATAATGGAATACTTGATATTTAAGTAGCTTGTGGAACACTAGAAAGTTAAGCAGCTAATAGAATACAAGATATTTAAATAGCTAGTGGAACACTAGAAAGTTAAGCAGCTAATGTAATGAGATATTTAAGTAGCTAGTGGAACACTAGAAAATTAAGCAGCTAATGGAATACAAGATAATCAAATAGCTTATGGAATATTAGAAAGTTAAGCAGCTAATGTAATAAGATATTAAAGTAGCTAGTGGAACACTAGAAAGTTAAGCAGCTAATGAAATACTAGATATTTAAATAGCTAGTGGAACACTAGAAAGTTAAGCAACTAATTTAATAAGATATTTAAGTAGCTAGTGGAACACTAGAAAGTTAAGCAGCTAATGAAATAAGATATTTAAATAGCTAGTGGAACACTAGAAAGTTAAACAACTAATGTAATAAGATATTAAAGTAGCTAGTGGAACACTAGAAAGTTAAGCAGCTAATGAAATACTAGATATTTGAATATCTAGTGGAATATTATAAATCGAAGAAGTTAAGCACGTAAATATTGTATATGCAACATTAACTGTGCTCGAAATTTGATGGATTACCAGATCCAGTATCTGTTGTTGGGTGGCATAGATTTCTCTTACTCGTTTCCGCTTTTCCACCTAAAATTCATTTAAAGATTTTAATACTCGATAAAAATAGCTTGAAAATGAAAAATGAAATTTTAAAAATTTAAACCTGAGGACAAGGTTCATCCTCCAGCTCCTCCAGGTAGTATTCTCCTGAGCCAACCTGATACAGAGGAAACTATAGTATTCTCCTGATACAACCTGATACAGAGAAAACTAAAGTATTCTCCTGAAGCAACCTGATACAGAGGAAACTATAATATTTTCCTGATATAACCTGATACAGAGGAAACTATAGTACTCTCCTGAGCCAACCTGATACAGAGGAAACTATAGTATTATCCTGATACAACCTGATACAGAGAAAACTATAGTATTCTCCTGACCCAACCTGATACAGAGGAAACTATAGTATCCTCCTGACCCAACCTGATACAGAGGAAACTATAGTATTATACTGACTCAACCTGATATAGAGGAAACTATAGTACTCTCCTGACCCAACCTGATACAAAGGAAACTATAGTATTCTCCTGATACAACCTGATACAGAGGAAACTAAAGTATTCTCGTGCAGCAACCTTATACAGAGGAAACTATAGTATTCTACTGATACAACTTGATATAGAGGAAACTATAGTACTCTCTTGACCCAACCTGATACAAAGGAAACTATACTATTCTCCTGATACAACCTGATACAGAGGAAACTAAAGTATTCTCCTGAAGCAACCTGATACAGAGAAAACTATAGTATTCTCCTGATACAACCTGATATAGAGGAAACTAAAGTATTCTCCTGACCAAACCTGATACAGAGGAAACTATAGTATTCTCCTGATACAACCTGATATAGAGGAAACTAAAGTATTCTCCTGACCAAACCTGATACAGAGAAAACTATAGTATTCTCCTGACCCAACCTGATACAGAGGAAACTATAGTATTCTCCTCACACAACCTGATACAGAGGAAACTATAGTATTCTCCTGACCAAACCTGATACAGAGAAAACTATAGTATTCTCCTGACCCAACCTGATACAGAGGAAACTATAGTATTCTCCTCACACAACCTGATACAGAGGAAACTATAGTATTCTCCTGACCCAACCTGATACAAATGAAACTGTAGTATTCTTCTGATACAACCTAATACAAAGGAAACTAAAGTATTCTTCTGATACAACCTGATATAGAAGAAACTAAATATTCCTGAAACAACCTGATATAGAAGAAACTGAAGTATTCTCCTGATACAACCTGATATAGAAGACACTAAATATTCTCCTGAAACAAGCTGATATAGAAGAAACTAAATATTCTCCTGATACAACCTGATATAGAAGACACTAAATATTCTCCTGAAACAACCTGATACAGAGGAAACCAAAATATTCCTGAAACAACCTGATATAGAGGAAACTAAAGTATTCTCTGATACAACCTGATAAAGAAGAAACTAAATATTCCTGAAACAACCTGATATAGAAGAAACTGAAGTATTCTCCTGATACAACCTTATATAGAAGACAATAAATATTCTCCTGAAACAACCTGATACAGAGGAAACCTAAATATTCCTGAAACAACCTGATACTGTTATTCTACTGATTCAACCTGATACAAGTATTCTTCTGATACAACCTGATATAGAAGAAACTAAAGCATTCTTCGGATACATCCTGAGACACAAAAAATATTCTGTATTCTCCGGACTAAAGCTGATAAACGGAAAACTAATTCATCAGATTACTCCAAGACGGGATTAGGGAAGGATTGACAGAAAGAAAATACATCGATATTTTTCATAAACCCAGTACATATTAAATCTCTCTACTGGTGTACCGTCCCGTTGTCGTATGTATAATGTATATATTTATATGTATATTATGTACTGTATGTTTGCTCTAGTTGCCAATGATGCAGTACTTGAAATTAACTGCAGGAGATTTCAGTGAGATATCATAAAGTCAAAGTAAAACATTGCCGGCTGGGAAACCATTTTTATTTCCTTGAGAAACGTTTTGAACTAACCTTAGTAAAATGGTGTACAATACCAAACTGTACAACTGTAGAGAATATGTACGTAAAGGAAATAAACACAAAATAGTCCAGAGCTGTTGGATATGGTACCTGCAGAACATAACATTTATAAAATTATAAATGTATGATTTAAATTAGTTATTAATTTATTTATTGCCCATTAACAAATCCGTATTTTTTAGAGCATCGTTAACAAAATACAATAAATCAGTCCTGTGACGACAGAAAACTGAATAACTTCTTGAACACTATTTTCCAAGAAGAAATATTATTTAAAAGTACATGTCATTTTCTCAAAAATATAATAATACTTTTTGTTAAAGCGCATCCATAAACACAAAGTGGTAATCCCCAGGGAAAGCTTATTATTTAATTGAGCAGTAATAAAAGATCAAATTTTCTAAAAATAAATCACCTTTGGTAAATCTTTTCTAGCTTCTAGACCAAGAAAAGTCATTGTTAAAACAGTCGTAATCCCTGAATTATTTATATCATTGTATTTTTGGTATCATCAAATTTATTATTGTCTTTAATGATATTTCTTCTTATTATTATTGATAAGCTCATTATTATAATTATTTATATCTATATATAATAAAACTGGACATTCGTATATATGTCGCGTACAGTCGGCCAAACGGCTAGACCGATTGGGCTGAATTTTTGTGTGGACAACCAGGGGTGGCAGGGGGGTGTTATAGGCTAAAAAATATATTTAAAAAATCCACGGGCAACGCTAGGCCCTGCAGCTAGTATAGAATAAATGGAGGTGGTAGCTGTTTGTCTTGTACACTTTTTGTAATTGTTATTTTCCTTAACTGCAGTTGTACTTAAAAATAATCTGCCAAGGATGTCAAATAAGTATTTTTATTTTTTTTGATTGATGGGCCAAAATCTCCACTTTAGAATTTTTAAAAATAATAAATGCTTGATTTTACAATTAAAATGCATTTCTTTAATGTATTTTCGAAAAAAATAAGAATATGTGCGTTTGGATAAGGAAATAATCGACGTTTTTACTTCCAAAAAAATTGTCTGGCAAAAGTATTTGTCTGCTAGAGTTGCGCAAAAAATGCATTATAGTCTCATTTTTGATTTGACATTTGTACTCAGTTTGTACTCTCCCGTATAAGACGGCCCAGAAATAGAAAAGAGGAAGAAGCATTGAAACTAAAAAAAAATGTTTAGAAATGTACTATCATATAATTTTGATGAAAAAAAGTTCTCAAATTCCTTTTTATTTGTCTTTTTATCCACTCTACAACAAAATCCTTTCAATGTACTTCCTTGGCATTCTAGGATGAAAGAAGTACGCGATTTATTGATTTACAGGATATGTTGTAGGGAGGACAGTTTATTAAAAAGTTATTCTTAATATTGAAATAAAAGTAACTAGCCTTAGAGGGCGCTTCGCGCCCATCTTCTAAATTAATTGTGAACATGTTCTCTTTGTGTACATCGTAAAACAAAACAAAAATACTTCGCGGATTTTCACAAAAAATTTCGTGGATTTTCAAAATTTTCGAAAATTTAATGAAGATCGAATTTTGATGGAGACAAATATTTGAAATTTTGATCATTCATAAACCTTCCCTGGGGTCCCTAGATGTCCCACAAAAAATTTGGGCCCGATCGGTTCAGTCGTTTTGACGTTTATTGGATACAAACAAACAGACAGACAAACAAACAAACAAACAGACAGACAGACAAGCCAAATTTATATATAGATTATTACGGAATTTTTTTATGATTTCAATCCATGTATTTTTACTAAATGTTTGTCTAATTTTACGAACATTTTAAACGTACAAATCTTGTATTTCATAAATGTGTGCAGTTAATTAAAAAATGTTAAGTTTCTTTGTCCCTTGAAAATATTTGTGTACTAAACCTGTTATTTAAGGTACAAATACAGTTTAGGAAAGTAATAAGTAGAACAACTAGGTCCATAGAAAATTCAAATTACTTATCATATTTTCTGAAGTTTCTGTTCTCATGCTGATCCTCTATTGTTACTATTACTATACTGTAGATAACTCTTATACTGATGCTAACAGCATTATAATTTTTATTTTGTTAGCTTAAAAAATAAATATCTTTATAATTAATCAATAATTAGAATTAGATTTGTTAAAGGGAGTGTTCACAAAAAAATGAAATGGAGCATAGGCTTACGTCGAAAAATATTCGATGGTGATCGTTACTAATCTTACTTCTATCGGTTGCGTCTAAAAGGAGAAAGTTGTAAAAAAACGTCTCATACCGTACCGTCCATACAAATTCAGAAAGTTGCAATATTCGACTCAGATCGTAAATAAATCAATTTAATTCTAAACAAATCATTCAGAAATTACAACCTATAATCATCGAATTTTATTCGACGCTTCGTGTATAATTGATAGTTCGGGTTACACCCGGAACCCCAGAAGCATCAAGAGCATAAGCACCTAGCGGCCAAATAATCGTCCTTTAAAGTATATTAAATATTAAAAAAAAAACTATAAACAAATGCGTCAAATATAATTCTATGGTTATTGGTCGTAATATCTGAATGATTTGTTTGGAATTGAATTGAATTATTTACGATCTGATTCGAATATTGCAACTTTCTGAATTTGCATGGGCGCTACGTTCTTCAGTATGAGTCGTTTTTAACCATTTTCTTCTTATAGGCGCAGCAGATAGAAGTGAGATAAGTAGCAATCACCATCGATAATTTTTCGCCGTAAGCCTTTACCCCCTTTATTTTACCCGAACACTCCCTTTAATATATACTACTCTAATTTGCATTATTAAACTAACCTAGTGATATTCTATCCGATGTAGCTTCTCTATTCAACCAGAAGGAAACCCAGGATATAACTACCAATAGGATACAAGGTCCGTACACCTAGATTATTACAACCAATAGGATAAAGGTCTGTACACCTAGATTATACAGTACAGTACAACCAATATTATACAAGGTCCGTACACCTAGATTTTAAACAACAGTACAATCAATAGAGTACAAGGTCCGTACACCTAGATTATACAGTACAGTACAACCAATATTAGATTATACAGTACAGTACAACCTATAGGATACAAGGTCCATACACCTAGATTATACAGTACAGTACAACCTATAGAATACAAGGTCCGTACACCTAGATTATACAGTACAGTACAACCAATATTATACAAGGTCCGTACACCTTCATTATACAGTACAGTACATTTAAAATTCGGTGATTATGATGGACCAAACCTCTGTAGAGTAAAAAAGTATATGTTAGCTCCACATTTATTGAAAATATATTTCGGTCTGGGTTGACCCTCGTCAGTTCTTGAGATAGTACAACCAATATTATTCAAGGTTCGTATACCTAGATTATATAGTACAGTACAACCAATAGTATACAAGGTCCGTACACCTAGATTATACAGTACAGTACAACCAATAGTATACAAGGTCCGTACACCTAGATTATACAGAACAGTACAGACCACAGCCAATGAAAATGTATCTTATTCGTACATCTGAAATCTAAATTCTAGATGGGAGCGTGTTTTTGTTCATATTTCTGAAAAATATTAATAAAGGTGTAAAGAAATGAATCGGAAGGAAAGCGATGAAACAGTAATATATCTCATGGTCTCAATATATGCAGAGGAGAATATAAAAAAGAATCAAAAACCGAATAAAATATTGAAAGAGAATTAAAGTAATTAGAAAGGTTTAAATTAAGAAATTGGCCCCCCCCCCCAGACTATTTTGAATAAACCAGACGTCATCCTGAATGGGGTTAAAAGATCAAAAATTGATGGATTGAAGGACCAAGGATTAAAAGAATTAAAAAGTGAAGGTTGATGGATTGACGGAATAAAAAATCAAGGAATTAAGGTTTGACGGATTAAAAGAAGAAAGAAATGAAGGATTGGCGAATTTAAAGAACGAAGGACTGATGGATTGAAGAGATGAAAGATTGAAGGATTTTGCTGGATTGAAAGATTGAATATGAAGACAGTGTTAGACAACTACATTAGATCTCAGGAAGTAAAAGATGTTTCCATTCATCATCAAACTATTTCTTCTCTCAAACTTCTAACCAGCCAAACAGACACGATGAACAACCAGACATACAAATATCCAAATGGACAGACAGATATTCAGTATTTAGAACTTTCAAGAACTTGTTCAGAATTGAAGGAACAAACAGTGCAAAACAGAGTTCAAATTTACAGACTACACATAATACTAATAAATCTACCCAGCATTGCCCGTACCCATATGGCGGTACTTCCTTTATACTTATTTCATTATTATAAAAGATCGTCCCGGCAATCTTTGGAATTTAAAAAAAACACTCTGCAAAAAACGACCTCCCTAATCAAAATAATTAATCGAATTGAAATTATCCTACTCATTTGGAAAATGCGAAATGCACCGACAGTTACCAATGTTAGACTAACCTATTGCTACCAAGGTTGGACTGACCTATAGCTACCAAGGTTATAAATGACCTATATCTGTCATTGCTAGACTGACCTACAGCTACCAAAGTTATAACTGACCTATAGCTACCAAGGTTAGACTGACCTACATCTACCAAGGTTAGAATGACCTACAGTTACCAAGGTTAAAAATGACCTATGGCTATCATTTCTAGACTGACCTGAATAACAAAGTCTCCCATGTGCCTTTGCAGATGAAAACTCACAATCAATGTTGAATGAATACCTAAAATGATAACAATGATGATGATATGAACAATATAAGAGGATGATAATAGAAGCAAAATGACAAGAAATCAAAAGAGAAGCAAGCAAAGATTTACCTTGGTTTCTGAGTGTAGTTTCTGTTCCGGTCGGAGTAGAAATAAGATCAAACTGTGATAGTTTCATATCTGAAGCAATATTTACTCCTCTACCTGTAGTCCACTTGTAGGTTACATCATCAGCCGTATAACCAACTAAATAGAACGGGTCATTGTAAAAAAAACAATAACTTAAAAGAACAAAACTAACAAGATTTGACCTATTTTGCCTACTTTTATTTATCATTCATTACGGAAGAATGTTTTTCTTTCATTTGCAAATATCCGTAAATATTTTCTTTGTTTCTGTGTCAGTAGAATGGCAAATTTACAGTATTAGCCAGATTGTTCTACTACAGGTCTGTTCTTCTAAAATCTGGTTAATATTTACACGTGCTGCAAATATCTTCAGTTTTTATAGGAGACCCATAAACATAATTTTATATTCCAGTTCGTAAACAGAAGCCTTATACGTAGATTGAAAAAAACCTTTTTGCTAGAGTTTGGTTTGTATCCTACATAAAATAATTTGCATTTTTATGAATTTTTAAGAAACTTACAACTTCCTATTCTAAGTGGACACTTCTGTTTGTCCATTGGAAACCCTTCAAGATTCATGATACAAGTAGCTCTGATGGTCAGACGCTGCGAGTAGAGAACTCGACCATTTGGGAACAGTCTAAATATTTAAATAAACGTTTTTTATTATTATTATTATTTATTTTTGAGAAAATTATTATACCTTATTTTTACTCACAATTTCATAATCTTGCGTATAAAAAGTTTCTTATTTGTTCCAAAGCAAATAAGTAACATTTTAATCCGGCAATTTCAATTTCACGGATTCTAATAAAAAATCGCAAATTTTTATGAAACTTGAATTAAAATATCCGACTGTCTTTCGTTATCAATTGGTAAATTGTGTTTTGTTGTGATTTTTACTTTTTTTGTTTGTTTTCGGTTTAAATTTAAGATTTTTAATCACTTACTAACTTCGGGATTAAAATTCTTGAATTAAAACCTTAAACAAAAAAGTCATAATCCCGGCCAGAAACATATTGTCCCACACAAGACAGTTGCATAATAGATATTTCTATTTCACGCAGCGTGAACCTAAAATTCATAATAAAATCAATGATTGTGAGAGAAAGTTTATTTTCAGTAAACTATCCCTTTATTGTATTCTGTCCAGCAAGCAATGTTCTGATTGTTTACTTATAATCTGTCGGAAGGTAAAAGAGTAAAGGAATAATATATAATTACTCTCCTTGAAGGTTATGGATGGAAAAAGAACAAAAATGAGGAATTAAAACAAATAAAGATATGTTTCTTTAAAAAAAGTTATTTTATAATAAAGTTTCTGATCAAGCTAAGAACATTGACATGGTTCTAACGAGCTACCTAATCAAAATTTGAGGCAAATCGGTCATTCGGTTCATGAGTTATGATCGGAAATTTAAAAGGATGTACATAAAATGAGTTAAAAACGTATGAATCTGAAAAAGATGACGACTGCATGAACAAAAGACTGTGTAAAAGATTATTGAAACGAATGGATGAAAATAAAGATTGATTTGAATATCATATAAATATTAAATGATAAGGATATTTGTTTGTTGATTGATTAATTGATTGAATTGATTAAAAGCGCAGAATGAATAAACAAGAAGAGAATAGAATAGAATAAACCTAGAAACAAACTTATAATCTTCTAATGGAACCACCAAATAAGTTTATATCAGATTGGACTCATGTTGTATTGGAACTCAATAAATTACAAGTAAATTCTTATATTTTATCTTAAAAAAACTACTTTTTTTGGTAGACCACTTAAATTATCAACGAAAGATTTCTTTATCAGCCAATGTTTTTAGCAATGCAAAAAATACGTTTACCATCAAAAGAAGATCTTAAAGCAATCATACCATCAAAGTAAATATAAGAGAGCGAAGAAGCAGTCTCATATTCAAGCACTTTACCATTAAGATATCTGGCAAAGCACGTTGATCCTCAACTAAATATTGCTAGAACAGCAAGATACAGTATGATCTTTAGTAAATGTAACAAAGTGAAAGCATGACGTGAAAAGTTTATCAGGCTTTTGGATCTAAGATTGTTCAAATATTTAGATTATATCTGAACATGATAAAGATGTTAGGATGTAATCTGTTCAACGTATCCTCTTATAGATTAGCTAGAAAAGTACGCAAGTTTAACGTCACGCAATGATTGTTGCCATCAAAAATATATTTTGTAATCTCAGTATGTTTTCAGTTTTAAGTGTATGTTTAATTTTAATTTCTTTTCTAAGATAAAAATATAAAAAAATATAAATGCTGAAGTATAATCAAACGTTTATCTACAAGATAAGTAGATTATGTAGAAAATATTTGTATGCCTGACTAATATTTGTTTGTTGCTGATGAGAGCCTATTAAGTGATATCTTGATGGATGGTATACCATACATATATCTAGACACATTCAGAAAGCTATAAACTCAAGAGGGATTAAATTAAAGAGGTTGTATACCTAACTTAACTCTAATCTTTACTAACAGAGAGTATTTGATGAATGATTTGATTTGATGCCTAAAAATCAAACTTTCTAATCCCTATACCTTAGCAACATGATGGTGTGAACCTGTGATATTTCAAACTTCGATAATTTGATCTAACATCAGGAGTTTGAAATGTGAAAGGTCTACGGCATTGGGTTTAGGGATACAGGGATTAGAAAATCAGAATTTGTCTCAATTCCATTCCTCAGATTTTAGTTTTAAAACTAAATTGTTCTAAAGGACGCGGAGAAAATTGGATACCTCGAAAATGTTGTACGACAATAATTATTGACTTTAAATAGTATTTTTGTTTTTATATACCAAGTTCTTCTTAGAAAGATGTTGCTACATAAAAGAAGACGTTTGATAAATAAAAAAATATCGATTGGATTACTGTCCGATTGAACCATTATTTTTTTAAGTATCAGTTTATCTTGTTTATACCTGACAAATCTGTTTGGAGTAGTAATTGTGTGAAGATAGGATTTCTTCCCGTTGTACATAAAGGTATCAGGTTTCCAGATCTTTCTTAACATCTCAATACTTAGAGCCAGGGCATCCTACAGATATTACCAGAAATCAGAGGTTGGAGCTTTTATATCAGATATAACCAATAATCAGAGGTTGGAGCTTTTAAATCAGATATAACCAGAAATCAGAGGTTGGAGCTTTTATATCAGATATAACCAGTAATCAGAGGTTGGAGCTTTTATATCAGACATAGACAGTAATCAGAGGTTAGAGCTTTTATATCAGATAAAACCAGCAATCAGAGGTTGGAGCTTTTATATTAGATATAGACAGTAATCAGAGGTTGGAGCTTTTATATCAGATATAACCAGTAATCAGAGGTTGGAGCTTTCATATCAGATATAACCAGTAATCAGAGTTCGAAACTTTTATATCAGATATAAGCACTAACCAGTAATAACCAGTAGTCAGAGGCCATAACTTTTATATCAGATATAACTGCAGTAATAAGAGGCTGAAACCGTTATATCAGGTATCGTTATTCTACACCAAAGTTAAAACTTTATAATAAAGCTATTGGAAGTCTAATCCGCAAAATTAATCTCATTGTCAAAGGTTCGACCTCAACGTTAAAGGATTGTAACTTCAGATATATTCGGGTGACAGAGCGGGGTTGAAAAAGAAATAAAGATGAAACTTGATGATAATTTAGAACTACATTTATTTCCATATTACCATTTTTAAGAACGAATTTACGTCTTCTTTTTGATAGAGCTGGCGAACAAGAATACTAATTCTGTCTTTTTATTCATAACTTGCCCGGCGTTGCCCGAAGAATTTAAAAACGCTTTTGAAAAACATATTTGAAAATATTCTTATCTAAAAAATCTTATTTTGGAAAAATATATTTAGTTTATGTTTTAAAAAAGTAATTGGCAAAATTCTCATCGATTTTTGCGTGAGGGCTTGCAGCCTTTGAATCACGTAAATTTAACAAGAGTATGACCAACCTACCTTGTAACCTGTAAAGGCTAATCTTTTGTCAACCCAGGATTGTCGGAAATAGCAATCCATGATGTAGCTCTATAAAAATATGAAAGGGTAGATAATAAATATAATAATATAATTAAGTGGAATAAAATCTACTACATACTATCTGACAAAATGCTTTATATAAAATTCCACTTTAATTTGGTTCCACATTCCATGAAACTTATTAAGTAATTGATTGCACCTGAATTTGATATTTTTCTTGTAGAGTTAGTAATGAACCAACATTAGGTTTATCATTTGCATTTAATCTTGAATAATTAATTGACAATTTTGAATTAAGCAGAACCTAGGCATCAGAACCAAGGTGATTAAGAACACATTCATCATAAGTATCATTACAATTAGCATGCATTAATCATTTGCTTTATACAAAACATTTTTTTGTTTTCTATTGTTCTTTTATAAACATAGAAGGATTCATATAAAGCTTTAGCAATACATACCTCTTTCAATAAAAGATTTAACTATTAGCTTGGTGTTTTTTAACATTTATCGTGTATGTAAGATTTACATATGAATTTTACATGGCGTAGTTCTTACGGTTTTCTTTCACCATGGCAACACATATGAATTATATTCTGTTGAGATACAGTTTAAATTAAGGGTAATGTTGCGAATCAATGCTGGCATTTTTAAGGTGAAGCGATACTACAAGATATTACCATGACATTAAAATATAAAAATCCAAATATTTCTTGTTAATCGTTTATTTATTTTGTTTTGAATCACTCTCGGTGTTATCTAACAATATCCATCAGAATTTATCATTACTTATTCTAATAACAGCAAAGGCACTGAGTTTTGCCACAAACTAAAATTTTCTAATCCTTATTATCTTTGCAACCTAATGGTGTAAACCCTTGATATTTTAAACTTAGAATTTTTGGTCTAAAATAATTTACAATTTAAAATATAAAAAGGATAAAAGTATTAAAATATCAAAGTGGTATCAAGAACTCAGTTCCTGGATAGTACAAAACGTCTCAATAAAAGCAGAATTATGAAGAAAAAGCACGTTTTCAAATTTCAGATATGCATGTTTTCTTTTTGCGAATATGCTGGTTGGTAAATGAATACCAAAAATGGAGAATTATTTTGTATATTCTAATTTATATTTTGCAAATTTTTACATAGATATATTTTTATATATTTTTATTTATGTTCACAGTTTGTGACTATAATTTGACAACCATTTGTATAAATTATTTATATAAATTGAGCAGATCGTTAACAACAAGGAATGCTTTGAAGGTTTTCTTATTTTAAAACAAAATAATTTTTATTTTAAAAATGACAATTTCTCATACTCGACGCTCATCGAAACCTGATCGAAAAAAAACAAAATGTGCCAGAATCATGATAAAGATTTATAATCGATAATTTTGAAACCAAATTGATAGTCAAAATTATAAGCATGAAAGTCTAATTTAACTACAAAATGGGGCACTAGCTCAGCTCCCTGAATCTCCATGATTACATATTTCCGTATTATTATATGTATATTTGTATAATGTATATCTATGTTTACATATATTACCATATCCATCTCTGATATCGGACCCATACTCCTAACTTGCATGTTTACGTCTATCAGTGTTGATGGACCTACAATAGATGAACTTAGCATCCTCCAGTTATATGAGAACTATAACTAGGTAAAAGTTAATCATTTTCAATAATTTGAATAAACATGTACACTGTACAGTATCCATTAGATAAATATAATTTAAAAGGGTGTCAAAAAGAAACTTTATTAAAAGAAATTATTTGACGAGTTAAAAAAATTTAAATCTAATCAACATTTATTCTTTTGTATCTGTGTAAAGAAAAAAACAGACACAAAACAGTTCATGTAAAATAGGAAAATTTTAATATTCTTTTACTAAATTACAGTAATTATCATTTTAAATTTACTTCTGTCACTTTTCGAAAATAACTTTTTTTTTGAAAAACTAAAGTTCTTTGATTCTTGGACTAAAATCATAACTAACCCTTTTACGAGGTCTCAAATTTGTACCAGTTACCTCTGTAAAATTTGTAATTAAAATAATGTTGTGTACCTCCAAAGTCTGGCCGAAGATTGTTATCATAATCTTTCAGAAGATTATCCAGTAGCTTCGATACATTATAGGCTGTTTGGTTCGCTAGTTTAGCTAGATCCTAAAATGTTTTGGATTCAATGTTTTTTTTGTATTTGCATGAAGAATTTTTGTATTTTCATGAAGAATTTTTTGTATTTGCATGAAGAAGAAAGGATTGCATCAACAACTTGAGCTATTTGCATTTCCTTTGATTTTTGGTTATTTAACTGGATTTTTTTAAATGCCGAAAAGAATTTTTTAAATGCAATTATGCAATTACCAATTAAAAATAAAAACCTGTTTTTAATATTTTTATTTAATAATTTACGAAAAGTCATACTCGCAAATTAAGCAACTGTGAATTTTTTAATCTTTACTAGACTTCATTGAAGCCTGCATAACCCCAGTTTTTAAGTTATCTAAGTTTAGGAATAAACAAGAAGATTCTATTTTTGTAAGTTATTCTTTTTGATTGTTAAAAAGAACTGAGTTTTTGCTACAATCTCTGATTTTCGAATCTCTATATCTTTCAAACCGATGTCACTGACCTTTGATATTTCTAACTATGAACTCTGTTTGATCAAATAGTCTAAGTTTGAATAATATTATCAGGTTGCAAAGAAAAAGGGATTAGAAAATTTGAGTTTGTGGGAAATAATCACTTCCTTTAACAAGGAGATGTTAGAATACTTTTGGCATATGATAGAGAAAATTTAGTTTCGAAAACGTTTACAGGATTAAACGGGTTTAAAACTTCCTGATCACTTTTTAGTGTAATCCTGTCTTTCTTTCTTTTGTTTCCTAGTTCGGTAATTAAATATGAGTATACAATAAAAGAGACAAGTTCTTGATATCATTAATATTTACCTTGTTGCTTTCAGCAGTAGAGGAACCAACTCTAAACAAAGAAAAACTAAATTTAATCCTTATTTATTGAAGCGAGTGAAGAAAAACCAAAAATAGAATGGGAAAACTGGAAAGGAATTTATAGAATTTATTTGAGTGGAAAAAGATTTAAAGTTTTAAACTCGAGCGAAAAAGTTGCTTTATTTTTAGTCTATTTATTTTGTACGAAGTATCTAGAATATTGCCTATTATGAAAATACTTGGGGAAAGAAGTTGAGTCTTTTCTGATCCCTATATCTTTGCAACTGACGGGATAGACCTTTGACAATTAGTTGTGGTAAAATAAATAGACTAAGTGTGAAATGTCATTATCAGGTTGCGAAGAAATAGGGAATAGAAATTTGAGTTTGTGGCAATTACGTCAAACTTAAAGTTGAAATATTATTTATTTCTTTTCATTACTCATCTTATTGAAGAACTAAAGAGAAGAACAAAAATGTTTTAAATCGCCAATATATAACCTAATAAAATTATTTACTCTTTAATTTTAAATTCATAACTTTTATACAGTGGGACTCATAAAACTGTAAAATGGAAGGAAAACATTTAGCCAATCTAATTTATGTTTGCTATAAGTTTTAAGTCTTGTTAAAGTATAACGGCTATGAGACGGCTAAGGGGCAGGTGGAAAGGGGGAAACAACCTTAGAAAATTGCGGTAAGCTTCTATATGTAGAATGTATAGATACTTAAATTCTATTTTAAGAATGGATTAAAAACATTTCACCTGTGGAACACTTAATAAATAAAAAATTGTTTAGTTAAACAAAGATAATACTTTTGTTTTGGCACGCATGTAGCTTGGAATTTGCAAGTGGGGGAAGGCATTTTTTCGGACCAGAAAACCTTAGAAAAGGTCGAAATTAATGACTCATTACACAATATGTTTCTTGATTAAAGTATGGCTGAGGGTTAAGTTTGAGTGTCAAGCTTTTAGCCTGAAATGGCTGTTTTGAGCTTTTAGCGGCATTTTTCTTTTTGATGCCATTTTTCTTGAAGTAAAAATAATTTATGGCTATTTGTAATAGCTCAAAGGAAAAGAAAAAATATTGCCAAACGGCAGACAAAATATCTATCGAAATTGTCTTTGACAAAAGGAAGCATATTGCATAAATCTTGCAGGGAAGTTGGGAAGTTTTTCATTTTTTGCTATGTGATAGGATTTAAAAAAAAAATTGGATATTTTGAAATCTGAAATTTTTTTCTTTTCTGGTAAATCAACCTAGCTCGATATCTGAGTAACAATCATTTTCCAAATCCCTGACAAGGAAGGGGGGGGGAGGAGTGAAACAAATGTTATTCCCCCCCCCCTCCTGGCTTAATCCTAGAACCGCCCTTGCTAGAGTCGTCTTCTAATTGTTTTGCTTTCTGGGACAGCCTGTATGTGTTCTGCATTGGTTTACGAAAATCATCAAAATTTTGAAAAAAATATTTATTGTCAAACCCTTATTACTTTTTGTTTTACAATGACATACTGACATACTGAGAGAAAATGTTCACAATTAAAATAGAAGATGGGCGCGAAGCGGCTTAAAAGCCAATAAAAAAAATTAAAACAAGATATTAATTGCAGTGTACAAAAGAGTCTGAAGCAAAAAAGGTTAACAATTCTGACGATTTTTACATTTTAATGTTTAATAAAATAATGATTTTAATTCACCTATAGCAAATACACATGTTTTACGTTATTTAACAACTTTATAAAACAGAGAAATTGGAATGGATATGTCCAGGGATCATACTGTATTAGTGTGATGTACTGCGTATAATTTGTGAACATTTACATGAATTGTTCACTTTGAACTCCCTTTCAGGCTGAAAGGGACTGACAAAATTCACATCGAGGGATTGTTTAAATTCCACTCTAATATATTCTATTCTCTTTGATTATAGGAGCAAGGAGATCACAAAGTCGTAATAATAAATTGAATTCGACCTCTCTTCCTGGTAAGTTTGCAAGGACTGAATTCCTTTGAGAATATTTGAGAAATGGATCCAAAAAAGTAGATTTGTAACTTTATTTTAAAATTCATATTTTGCTTTCATGATTGATCTTGATAATTTCTTAACAATTCCATTTGATCTTTTCGAAGACTATTCGTTTTTGATTTTATCTAATTTTTTACAAGGAATGTTTTTTTTAGGAGAAACAGAGCATTATAGAGCATGTCTATATTATTGAACATAAAACAGCATTAAATGTTCTCATAAAATCTAGAATATATAAAAACAATGCAACCTAAGCATATCAGTTATATGGCCTTGTTAAACATATATTCAATTTTCAATCTTTTATTTAAATCTGAATAATGTAGAAATTTTACTTCTAAATTACAATCATGTTTTAATTTTAAAGTTTTTATCGTGAACCTTTGTCACTGATCTTGAATACACTATTCGTTTTAAATTTTCGTTTAACATTTTTAAAATGTAAACATTAAAAACAACAATTTGTTTAAAAAAGTAATTAATCAAAAATTGAAATTAATCTTCCAGGGAATATGAAAATATCCTTAAAATTGCAGTAATAATACATTTCCCCCTAGCGCTTCTAATAAATCTAATAACGGGGGAAATGTTTCGTCTAAAATGATGATTGATACAGATTTTGGAAAATAAAATTTGACAAAAAAGGAATTGAGACTTTCCCACAAACTCTGATTTTCTAATCCCTCTATCTTTAAATTCCAATGCCGTAGACCCTTTTACTGCTGTTAGATCAAGTTGAAAAATTTGAGTTTGTTGCAAAGACTATTTCCTTTGGAGCAAACTAAAACTAGATTTCCTGTATCCATTCTTGTATCTGTATTTGTTTTCGCAATTTTCCGGGAAAGTTTTATTTTCTGCATAAGTTTGATAAGACACGATTAAGGACCGGCCTAGTGCAATGTAAAGTTTCAGTTTAAACTTGAATTATAAAATCAGAGATTATACAGATAGGACTAGAAATGAAAAAGTTAGGTATTTATATTAATTTCTTCATAAAAGAAATTTTTACAATGCAGGCTTTATGCGATAAAAAAGCGCTTTTGATCGCTACTAATCTTACTTCTATCTGTTGCGTCTATAAGGAGAAAATTGTTAAAAACGACTCACACCGATGAACGCAGCGTCCATACAAATTCAGAAGGATGCAACATTCAACTCGAATCGGAAACAAATCAGTTTAATTCCAAACAAATCATTCAGATATTACAAACAGTAGTCATCGATTATTTTTCGACGCATTTGTATATGGTTAATATTTCATAATATTTTTGATTTAGTTTTTTTACTTAATTTTTGCTGGTGCTGGATTTTCGAACATTCCTGGAAAATATGAAAATGTCGTCTTCATTATAAAAAATCCTCGGAACAGGAATAAATGCAATAAACGGTAGATTAGTAGCGATCAAAAGCGCTTTTTAATAGCATTAAGCCTGTACCCCGTTTAATTTTTCGCGAACACTCCCTTTAAAGTATAAGGTTTTATACCTTCTAATTGGGTTATAAATAAGGTTTTTGAATTTAAATATTTTAGAATGTTTACTTCTTCTGTACTATCTGTGTTATCTGTGTTTGAACTGTTTAAAGAACTAATCAAACAGAGAACATTTTTATCCTGCACACCTTTCAAACTCAGGAACTAAAGTACATAGTACAATGTAGATTGCATTCGCACAATCTATATTCTATCTGGAATTAATAGACCATAATTTAGTTAATTGACACAGTAAAGACGACATATGTTACGCAGTGAGTAATTCGGGGGAAATTTCAAGGTTTTTTTTAGGAAAGTGTGATGTTGCTAATTTTGATCGATTTTAGACTCTGATATGAGCGAAAAGTAATAAAAGCAATTAGTTAAGTCACTGATCGGGATTGGCATCGTTATAAATCTTGTTTTTAACATTTTAAGGTAATTTTTAATTCTTAAGAGTCTTCACAAGAATCTGAGACGTTTAACCTATTTTCAAAGTGTAAGCTCCATATGTGTTTGTTTCCTTATGTAAAGATTTTTCAAAACGACTGATAAAAGGAGAGAGGAGAGGAGAGGAGACGTCAGAAAGGATAGGGTTATAGACAATCTTTAAAGGGACAGTAAAGGAAAAATGAAAGGGGGTATAGGCTGAAAGATAATCACTTTAGCTCTTGGTCGCGACCCATGGAAGTCATATCTGATGTTCCTTTCTCGAGAAATTTATATACAACTTTGTCAAATTTATACGAAAATTAATATATATACAATTTTGTATAAAAGTAGTGGGTTTAGATAGATCAATTCAGCAAATAAGCAACCAATCTGAAAACGATGATATCCCAGAGAAAGCTAATTGTAAATTAGGTTTACTTTTATATTTGTTATTTCTATTTTTAATAGATTTCATTCATAATATTATTTATACGTCCGTATTGCTTGACCAGAAATTCCACCAATAGCAGTGCAGTAAAGTGGTCACGTGATACAGACGGAGACACGTGATCAGTATACTAATCTGCCATTGGTGATAGTTCTGGTCACGTGATTTAAGTTCAAGATTTTATCAATTTTACATATATGAACTTTCGTATAATTTTAACACAGTTTTATATCAATTTCTCGAGACAGGAACATCAGATAAAACTTTCATGGGCCGCGATCAAGAGCTAAAGGGATTAGCTTTCAGCCTATACCCCCTTTCATTTTTCCTTTACAGTCCCTTTAAAGGAACTAAAGACTAAATTTCAAGTAACTGTGCATTAGTAGAGGGACATGTCTAAAACGTAGCGTTTCCCTTTAAACCTTTTTCTGAGTAAAAATTATGGAGTTATTCCTGTTCTTCTTTTTTAGGTAAATTATTCTGCTTTTACTTTCATTCAATTTCGGGGTTTCTTTAATTTGGCAGCTTCCGGATTTCTTACAAAAAAAGCAATGGAGAAAATTGTAGGAATTAAGCGCTTTAAAGCTATAAAAACGAACGGTTTTATTTTATTTTATTTCCATTTTAAAAACCAAAATATATTCTGATTTATA